AAATGTTTCCTGAATTACGGTGCATTCATGTTAAACAGTGTTCCGAATATATCTTAGTTTCAAACCAAACAATTATTGGATAAGTTACGTTATCCTACGATAAATATAATAGCATGTTTACATAATGTTAGGGCAACTGTCCCCAATTTGTCGTACTTATTTTTCTCATAGGTTTGTTTTGGTGCATGTGTTTGCCCATTCTTGTTCTTCAATGTAATTCGTTCTCGATGGCTCCAACTACTGACCGTTTGTCTACGATGGATTGGTTTTATTTTGATGTTAAGTTTTTCAATTGAAAGAGCTATTATCCTGCACAAAAACTTTACAATTGCAACGTTTCACCATAATGTTAGTATGTATTGGAATCCTTCAATCTATTCACTACTTATAAAATCTGAACCAGTTCCAAAACCGCCAGCCTTTCAACCTCAAAATATACCAAGTTTATTCGGAGTTTGTGTGTACGTATTTATGTGTCATCATTCTATACCTGGTATTGTAACTCCTGTTAGAGATAAGAGTAAAATACTATGTAGAATATTTATACCTGTCTTCATTACAGTTCTATCGTTTAACCTCTTATTATCTACTACAGCTATCATTGCATTTAATCATATTGAAGATATTTACACATTGAATTTTCTACCGAACAATGAATTTATCGACATATCACAAATTCCTTATACATTAGCTTTGATAATAGGTTATTTTTTATGTTTATTTCCTGTGTTTGCGTTGACTTCATCTTTTCCAATAGTTGGCACTAGTTTACTTGGAAACATTTTTCTTTATGTAACTTCTTCTCTGCATTCGGAAGTGATAAAGCTCAAAACATTTTGAAGTACACATTACCATTTGTCGTACTACTGCCACCATTAGGGATTGCACTAATAACTAATAATGTTGGATATTTAACTGGTTTTACTGGGGCAATTTTTGGTTCAGGTATACAGTATATAATACCAGCGCTGTTGGTATTTAAAGCACGTCGATACTTTACACACTGTGTTCCTCTGAAAGAATCTTATCTTGAAACAACAACAGATCTACAGCAAAGTGAAGATACGACATCGGCAACTGTTGGTGAACAAATGATACAACCAAATTCCAGCAATAATAATACGGAGAATGAGAATATCATGTATGGTTCAACAAATGACATAACAACACATTCTGTTTCAATCATAGGAAAATGTTCCAACCATCATTTATTGTCTATTTCTATGCATGCATCACCATTTCAGAACTTTTTCTGGATAATAATAGCTTTAATTTGGGCTTTGTTTTGTACTATCATTGTCCTCATTGACAAAATACACCATCTTTGAACGCAACGTTTCTTAGGATTTCATTTTTTCTGAAAAATTTAAACATGTTTTATCCCTCTTTATCAGGACCTCTTTGTTGATTATGGTTACTTCTACTGAATCACAAAAGTGATTTTATATTTTTAATCAATACTAAGCTGATTAAACTATATATATATTACACACGTAACCATGTGTTCCAATGTTGTCTAGTTGTAATATTTTTATTTCTTAACTATTATTAAGTCGACCGCATACGATTAGTTGATTGACCACTTATAAGTAATTTCAATTCAAACAACGTGAAAGTTTATACCATTGTAGAGAAAATTTTAAAAAATGTATACTTTCTATACGACGTGAGAGTAACTAATTTCTCAACGAGTGTATATTAGATAGAACTAGCCAGGATGAAAATTTCTTCACTGAAAATACATACTTATTTATCGAACGCATACTATTCTTCTTAGCAGACCTACCAGTTTATGAATTCCCAAATCCGAATAAGTGATTATGAATAAACAAACCTACTTATAACACAGTTTCACACTAATATGTGAGCGAAGATATAGTAAAACCAATGAGACAAGCATGTGATCATAACCTGGATTCAACCGTAAATTAAATAAAAAGTACTAGTTGTAAAAAGCATATGTCTATGAATATTTACATAAAACAGGAAATCGCAAAAATTAAGTGAGAACAGATGCACGACAAAAAATTATACACCATACAAAAACACGTGAAAGGTGATATGTACACTGAATGTGTAGGCTTGGGTTTACAATTATGTGATAAGGAATACCAAGGATTCGTTAACCCTTAAAGTACAAAAAATTTCAGTTACGCCTCTAGCGAACTTATTAATTACATTGTTTTTGCTGAAAAGATGAATCTACGACACAACGGTCATGACTGAAGACATGTTCTGTCGACTTTCGAGCAACACTAAAGAGTTCCACTGTTTAAACTTAGTGTTGTATTCAGCTGTCATATGAATAGAGAGTACAATACTAGTTTGTTTTATCTCGATAAAAAGTAAGTTTAATCACGTTATTCTAATAACCCACTAATTACCAGACGACTTAAGCAGAAGATATTTTTAAACCAGTGCGGAATCCGAGATCACTCCAATTAATTACGTTGATTTCTGAGGTACTATTAAACAACTTACTCTTTTCAAAAATTTCATTCAATTAAACAAATCCATTTTATGTAAGTATACTTTTGTGGTATATATGAAGAATAGGAGAAATTTATGCTGAGAATTTCATACTGTACTAAATATATGGTAGTGAACAAAATGGTAATTATATTTATTTAAAAATGGCAATTTAATATACAGAAGTGAACATTGTAGCTGTCTTCTGGGTAGGATTTAAAACCTATCTAATATTACTGACATTCAGACGGCTGGTCATCGAGTTAGTCTGGTGCAAGTTTACCAGGTGTAGAGTATGTACCTTTTCATGAGATACACCTTTTTGGTGTTTTAAAGGTAAAATCTGTGTTTACGAGGATTTTAAGGCTAATACTGACAGCCATAAGTAGTGTTGTAGATGCACTGTGCGGATACAAAGTATGTTTGGTTTGAATTGTTTGAACTTCTTACCTAATTAACCAGTGTAGGATATAACTTGTGTAATGGAATGTTGATATATTGCTCTATTCCTTAACAACGTGAATAAATAACTCAAGCTTTTTGTTGAGAATATTTCGATGATAATGAAGGAGACGTTTGAACATGACGGTTTGGTAACCGTTCAGCTAAAGTGACAAAAAGCCGGAGTTCTATATAAACTAGGGGCAAGAATGTCTGAAATATCTTATCTTAAACGTTAAAAACATAGGCTTTCGAGATAACCAATTAATAATCTTAACTGGAAGATATTTTGAAGGGTCCTAAAAAGCTGTCTACCCACAGATCCTACTATGACATAACCAAGGTTAATTAGCAGATTAAAAATCTATGAAACGGGACTGTGCATAGAAGTGTGCGCGTGTTGTTACTCAGAATGAAAATAAAAATATAAGTACCGAGGTGCCTAACTGAATACGGTACTACTGAAATTCTTCACCTTAGCTACGAACTTTCTGTATCTTCCTGAAGTGTAAAGTGGGTAGACTACTGTCTATTAATTTCATACTACACAATGAACAATCACCATTGTAATTTAGAACAACATATATCAGCAAACAATATTGTTTCCGATTAGATTCTCATCAGGCTTTACTCTAATATACAGGGTGTGAAGAAAAATAAGCGAAGAGTGTGGAAAATAATAATAAATAAACTCATTTATTAAGGCCAAGGGAGAGATGAGGGTGTGACAAGTTTCTTATGAAAACAAAGATTTTTTCTCAGATATACGTTTCACGGTCCAATTATCTGAACACCTCTTATTAAAAATGTTATTAGTGTCTATGTTTTTCTAATTATTGGCCCATTTCCGATTACTCAGTCAGTCAACAACGTAGAACTTCGTACGTACGTACATCAGTTCGAGTTGCCATACCATATAAGCACAGAGATACAATTGTCGATTCAAATCCCGTAGTGGTAGAGGTAATAAGAGTATAAGCAGTAATCGGGAAAATTATTGTTTGGAGATGTTATTGAAAGAGTATAATACAGTGAAATAAATTTGGGAAGAGAAAAAAAGAGACAAGGAGGAATACGGAGATCAAAATTCGGAAGAACACAAAGAGTGTATGCACCTGCGCCATTGCAAACGATTTTGAGCCATGTTATTCAAGGTCTCTAACCATCGGTTGTTACCATCTTGCGGATCCCAACCAGGTAGTCCACACTTACCAACATGGCTCAGTCCACTTGTCAATGACTTCATGGATTAGTGCCATGTTTTGGTCTGGTCGCCCTTAGCTTTCTTCCAACCTCCTTCTACACCATAAAACATCACACGTCGGGGCAGTCGTTGGTTGGGCATACGTAATACATGTCCCAGGCATCTCAACTGATGAAGTTTCACTACTTCATCAATGGATTTGCCATCCTTACCTAGTGCCCGTTTCCTAACAACTGCATTACTTACTCGATGGTCCCAGGATATACGAGCAATGATTCGAAGACACCTATGATCGAATACTAGTAACCTACGAATATCCTCTACTCTTACCGGTCATGTTTCACAGCCATAAAGTGGGACTGAACGAACTACTGCGCAGTAAACCCGTTCTTTTGTTGGTAGAGAGATATCTCACCTACGCCATAAATGAAGCAAGTTGGTAAAAGCTAGTCGAGCCTTCTGTATCCGTGCTGAGATTTCGTCACACACCAGACCACAAGGGCTGATGAGACTTTCAAGATAAGTAAAGCGGTCGACACGCTCAACTACTTCACTCCTTCAGGTGTCGATGCAACTGAATACTGAAGCAACATTTTGCATTTCGAGGGGGAGGATCGCATCCCGAACATGCCTGCATTGTTGCTTGCGGTGGTCGGAAGACTCTGCATTTTGTCAGCTTCTTCACCAAATAGAACGATGTCATCGGCATATTCTAAGTCAACAAGTGAATCTCCTGGTAAAAGTTCAACCCCTGGAAATTTAGATGAGGTAAGTGTTATGTCAGATTTCACTACGAGACTGTAATCTCGTGTTCGAATACACTCGGTTGTACCCACTGGTGTTCTCGTTCACTACAGTACTAAATATTGTGGAATTGAACGGCATCGTCGTTACATGCAAGTTTATTTATAGAGTTATAACTTTGTGTCACCATCTACTGTTAAATGAGTTCACTTGTGCAGAGCAAATAAAGAATAGTTAGATAGTGAAACCGCACAAATATCGACCATATATATCTATATAAATCATATAAACAGAATATATACAAGGATCGTTTAGCCAAAACAAAGGTCATTTGTTACTGAAGATATAAGTTTACATTTCGAATTTTCTTCTATACATTTAGGAGCATCATTAACATACAAATATACTGTACTGCCATCAGGTACAGTAAGAGCACATGCAGAAAATAAACTCATAGTTAATTTATGTGGCCAGTCATATATATACAAAAAAACTTTATATTTATGAATTTTATTAAAAAACGAGGTAATGAAGCTTTGAAGTGCTGAGCTTAGATTTTGACTTTCGTATAACTGATTTAAAAGAGACGAAGTAATCATAGGATTTTCTGACAGATTCAAAGTATGGAGGTAAGGAAGAGTATCAGGTATCATACTTAACAATGCTGTTGTTACAGGCACTTGGATGTTATGTGACATAAAAACTGAAGATAAGTCCAACTCTTCGAGGTGCGGGCAAGTCTGTTTAAGAAAGGCTGACATCTTTTCAAAACGCATGTTCAGTGGACAGGATGCTGGAGGACCAAGAAATAAACGATAACACTTCGATACATTTAGGTATTTCAGAGTTTTTGAAGCATTTAAACCAATCAGTGCCGATAAGTGTACGTCATATAGCCAGCTACTATCAGATAACTTGAGATACTTTAACGAAAATCTTGGAACACTGGGCAGAGATTCAGGATCAACTAACCTAAAAACAGAACAACTCCAAAATTATTCACTATAAAAGTAGCACCCAGGTTTGTTTTCAGATATAAATTTGGTGTCCCTGGGGTAATATCCTAGATTTAGTTTTACATACTTAATGACACGGCAAAAAATAAGGTGAGTATATATGGAGATCAGTTTAAAATGCTAATTATAACAGATCGGTAACTATCAGACTGATTCGATGGTGTGAGTACTTCACTTACAAGGATTTCACTGCTGAATGGCCATGACACATATGGTTTATTTTAAATTTTGTTCAGACAAGTCAGTCTAGTCTTTTTGAGTTGTTCTACATAAAAGCAAAGATCAAGCTAATCAGCCAGCGTTTTGCATAGTCAAGCACGAACCGGGATGTTAGTAATTGGATACAAGCATGCGTGAAATATCGAAAAGTTAGAATTCATCATCATACTAGTTTCGCAGTAGGTTCTTTCTAGATTCAAACACATACACATCAACATTGTGGGACAATGCTGGTTACAAATGGTTTCAACCATACCTTTTCCCGCATCGATAGGTTCACACGATGACCTGTAGCGGTGTTGATAAAGGACACATCACCCAAGACGGTAGCCTGAACCCTAATTGAGAGTTGGACTTCTCAACGGAGTGTCAGCAAATATTACAACTGATAGAAGTGCCCAATTGGAATATCGCCTTCCCCAGCAGCTCGCAGAACTTCTTGAAATTAAACATGTCCGCACGGCATTCTACCATCCGATAGGGAATGGTATGATAGGACGGCTACACATTTAGCTAAGAGCCTCTCTTACGGCCCCCGAATGCTCTGGTACGGCCGAGAGTGGGGAGAGTCCGCTCTCCCTCTCGAAATACTCTCACACGGCCACGCGTATACAGCCTCTGCCAGGGAAGTCCTACTCATTGCCTTCTCGTGGCGGGGGTGTTGTTTACGAAAATGAGAGGACGAAAAGCGAATGTCCGGCGCTTTAACCGGATTCCAAACCAATGGTGCACATGGGCTCCAGTATCCTGCGGGAACAAATGGCGTATGAACCAATCGTTGGTCACCGGCTACCATGGGACTGCATCTCCTTACGATGCTCCACTGCCTTGTGGGTTAGACCTTTAGGTCAAAGGCTCGGGGTGTGGCCCCCTAAGATAACCACCTGCTTCGGTTTGGGCACCCGGGCAGTATCACAGCCCACACACAAATGATGAACTCTTTATGTCTATGGAAATTACTTTTCTCGCTTTGAAAAACAATCAATTGATTCAAATTATTATCATTACAATTATTGTCATTATTAATACTATTATTATTATCACTATTATTGTTATTATTATTATTTTCCACATTATTCACCCTCTTTTATACTTATACAGCGGCTCGTCTTTGGTGGAAATTCGACTGTATCTAAACGTTCTCGAGTCACTGTCCGGTTGAAAATTGTATGTTACCACCGAATACGAGGACTGAAGCAGTTTTTCTGAAACCACGTGCACCATTCAAACTGGCTGCCTTCAACGTTCGCACATTTATGCAGGTCGGACAACAGATAGGGCTGGCTATGTCTTTGGAAAGTCTTAATATCGATGTTTGTTGTCTATCCGAGACCCGTATTCAAGACTCTGGCGAAGTACTACAAATTCGATCTCCATCTGTCGCTTCGAAAAGCTTGTTTTACGTGCGCTTATCCGGGGACCCTGTGGCATCTTCGTCTGGTCTTGCTGGCGTTGGTGTCGCACTAAGCGCTAGAGCTGAGGCAGCACTAGTCGATTGGATCCCCATTAACAGTCGGTTATGTGCTGTTAGATTAGAAAGTTCCATCAAAGTGAGAAGAAATCGGCGTGAGAAACGATGTCTTTTCGTCATCTCCGCCTATGCCCCGACAGATTGCAGCCCGGATGCAATCAAGGATGAGTTTTACCACCAGTTATCTGTTCTTCTCCAGAAAGTGCGTTCGACAGATATTGTAGTACTAGCCGGAGACTTGAATGCTCAGGTCGGGCGTCTAGGCACAGAAGAGAGTCGTTTAGGTGGCCGATGGGGACTCGTTGGTCGCAGGTCAGATAACGGGGACCGTCTACTGCAACTTTGCACAGACCACAACCTGTTTCTGGCTAGCACTAACTTTCGGCACAGTCATCGCCGATGTGCCACCTGGCGTCCTCCCTCTGCATCTCAAGCCTGGACTCAGATTGATCACATCGCGATCAGCTACCGCTGGCGTGGTTGTGTACAAGACTGCCGCTCCTTTTGGAGTACCTATCTGGACTCTGACCATGCCTTGGTCTGCGCCAATCTTGCCTTACTTTTCAGTGGACAACGAAGTGACCGCCATCAACGGATTGATGTTAGCAAGCTGGTTGCAACTTCTGTTGCAAGTAAGTATCGAACCGAGCTAGCCTCTAGGCTAGCTACCACTCCACCGAAAAGTATAGATGAGCATTGGTTGCAATTGCATGACGCCATGAAAATGGCGGGAACAGTCAGTTGTGGGTTTGCGAAACGTCCCGCTTTTAAGCACTGGGTTTCTTCTGGTTCCTTACAACTCATTGAAGCCCGTCGGTCTACTCCGGGTGACCGTGAGTTTGACCATAAACGAAGGATGTTACGTAAGGAAATTGGGCAAAGCTTGCGTAAGGACCGAGAAGCCTGGTGGTCGATGCGTGCTAATGAGCTGGAAGCAGCAGCTGCATCTGGTAACTACCGGAAGCTCTTCCAGCTCATCCGAGCCACTGGCAGCAAGAAGTCTGGTGTGAGTGAAACAATCTGCGAGGATGATGGGATGCCAATCACTAACATCCATCGACGTCTTGGACGATGGGCAGAATTTTTCGAAGGGCAGTTCAACTGGCCTGCTGCTCCGGCAACATCGGTCAGACTGTCCTGCCCTCCATGGCCGGTGACGACTGATCCACCAAATGAGGAGGAAGTCCGCAAGGAACTCCAACTCTTGAAGCGTTACAAATCACCTGGCCCAGATGACTTACCTCCGGCTCTTTTTAAAGATGGTGGTGACTTTTTGACTAAGGAATTGACGACGTTGTTTACAAAGGTTTGGGAACTAGAGAGTGTACCAACGTCATGGAATGAGTCGATAGTTGTCCCTATCTTTAAAAAGGGTTCACGTCGTTCTTGTAACAACTATCGGGGGATAAGTCTACTTCCGATTGCGTCCAAGCTATTGGCTTCCGTCATACTTCGTAGGTTGTTCAAAACCCGAGAAAGATTGACTCGCGAGGAGCAGGCTGGGTTTCGTTCTGGTCGAGGATGTATTGATCATATCTTCACCCTCCGCCAAATGTTAGAACACCGCCATACTTTTCAAAGGCCAACAATCGTAGTGTTTCTTGACATCAGGGCTGCCTTCGATTCGTTGGACAGGACTGTTCTCTGGGATTGTCTATTGAAGAAGGGTGTGCCTGAGAAGTTTATTAACATCCTAAAAGCCCTATATAAAAACACCTCAGGCAGAGTGAGGGCATACAACCACCTCTCTCCATTGTTCCATTCGAGCAGTGGGGTTAGGCAGGGTTGCCCAATCTCACCATTCCTCTTCAACTTTGCCATCGATGACATTCTGGAAACAGCTCTGATGAATGTAAGTAATGGTGGTGTGGATCTGTTGCCTGGAGAAAGACTTCTCGACCTTGAGTATGCGGACGATATTGTCTTACTGTGCGATAATGCCCAAGGCATGCAATCCGCACTTAATCAGTTGGCAATCAGTGTCCGTAGGTATGGTATGTGCTTTGCACCTTCGAAGTGCAAAGTACTTCTACAAGACTGGCAGGATTCTAATCCTGTACTCACCCTGGATGGTGAGCAGATAGACGTAGTCGAGAAGTTCGTGTATCTGGGTAGCTGCATAAGTGCTGGTGGGGGTGTGAGTGATGAGATCAATGCACGAATAGTGAAAGCCAGAGCGGCTTATGCCAATCTGGGCCACCTTTGGCGCCTTCGTGATGTTAGTCTGGCTGTAAAAGGTCGGATCTACAACGCGTCGGTGAGAGCAGTTTTGCTCTATGCTTGTGAAACCTGGCCTCTCCGAGTTGAGGACGTTAGACGACTCTCTGTGTTCGATCATCGCTGTCTCCGAAGGATTGCTGACATTCAGTGGCAACACCATGTCAGTAATGCAGAGGTTCGGCATCGTGTGTTCGGGCACAGAGATGATAATTCAATTGGTGTCACCATCTTGAAACACCGACTTCGGTGGCTTGGACATGTTCTCCGAATGTCGTCCCAGAGAATTCCACGTCGTGCATTATTTGCCGACTCTGGGACTGGTTGGAAGAAGCGGAGAGGTGGTCAGTGCATGACATGGTGTCGTGGCATGAAAGAAAGCTGCAAAGGACTGGCTTGTGTTGGTCCTTCACGACTCCCTGGTTGGGGTCCGAGAGATGGTGCTACACAGTGGCTAGAGACGTTATCAGATATGGCTCAGAATAGAAGCCAGTGGCGATCCTGCTGTAACCTTCTTTTACTTTCTTCATAAAAAGTGGTTGTGTCTCCTTACCTGAAAGATTTCTTCTGATTGTACCTTTCCGTTCCCTCGTTACTACCACACTACCTTACACCAATCTCTTCGTTATTGTTCTCTTTTTTTTGCGCTCCTTAGTTTTTTTTTTTCTTTCTTTCTATTTCTCTTCGAATTCATTGTTTTGTGTGGCGCATATATATTGGCGCTCTCTTGTACCAATATTCATGTGTTCAAATAAATAAATGAATAACTCTCTTACGGCTGCGATTGACAACAATAACCGGACCAGTAAGCTTCCTCTAGTCATCTTGGGCTTAAGAGCAATAATTAAATGAGATGTCGGATGTTGTCCAGCGGCATTGGTTTGTGGAACTACTCTATTTCTACCCGGAGGATTTTTCCGCTTTAATTAAGTTTCCTGACTGATATAACCAAACATACGCAAAGTCTAAAGAAGTGGTTTAAAAATAGCGCTTCCGAAGCAACGTCAACGATGGGTATACATACCAGAACAACTGGGTAACGGGACCCACGTGACTCACACGTCAATTTGTATAGTTTGATATTCTCTGTATCATAGTTATAATGTCTGATTTAACATTTTCTTGCGAACACAGACACTGTTGCATCTTTGTTTGCATGGGGGAGTTATTATGGCACTTCACTTACAATTGGGTCTGTAGGCGTTTAATTTCGTCAAGCCCTTCACTTAATTTATTTAACAGAGTGTCATTAGAACAGTGACAATTTGTCAATATCTTTTATTATTACCATTTCTGTACGAGCATGTGTTACGAACTACACATATATTCTTCTTGATAGCTGAATGTTAGTCAAATAAATAAAAATCTACAGAAATTCAAGAACACTTTGTGTAACCAATAATCTGAAGATTACATTACTCATGATAAAAATACTAAACAAATCAACTCACCTGTTTTTAGCAACAATTTCAATTAATTCAAGTTTTTCAAGATAATCAGAAAATAATCTGATAAAATTTTGAAAGTTATTAATACTTCCTCCTCGAATCAATACATGAGTCAAAACACCACAAATTTTAAACACTGGTGCCAATCCTGCTTCAATGTTTTTGGATCTCGGATTAACTTTGGGGCGATTCAGTCATGACAAAAAGATACCTACATTCAATCTTAACGCTACAAGTTTGTCGTCCAACCAGTTTCTGTTTTGAAAAATGACGCAAATCTTTCGGTTCTACCTCATAATTGCGGAAGTCTAAGTGTTTCCACAAGTATGAACTTCGAGATAATACGTGTAACTTTTTGTTAACTCTGAAAATACGTTGGAATGTAAAACTTACCTTGAAATACATTTTATCAGGTCAATTTGTGGTAAATAAGTAAAAACTCGAAGGATCAATTCATCAGGGAGATCATAAAAAGTGGCTGGAGATAGAATGCTGAAAACAAAACGCAATATTATGACGATTCACTAATAGTAGTGCATTAAAAAATTGCCCACTGGAAATGATACAGTAAAAGTATCCACATAATTCAAGTGATATCCGCTCTTAATATAAAAGGTTGATTTCATACAACAGTATGTATTAGATCCTTGAGCCACTATACTTAAATGATGTCGCTGACTTCAAAAGATGTGATAAATCTGTTGTAAATACATTTACAACAAATTAATGGGATATCTCACTCGTATTATAAAGCACGAATCGACCTAGTCGAGGCATTGTTGTACTTACATTTATAGGGTAGTATAGTAGTTATTATTAATGTACCCAGCAAAGATTTATTTTAATCCTTATAAGGAACCATAATTTCTAGTTTTAGCTACATATTAACCCAAGCAACCAATAAAGGGGAAATAAAGCAGACGAAAGGGTAAATAAAATGGGTAATGTCACTTTTTCGCCTTTACGTCGGTTATTTAGTGGGAACGTCGATTTTTAAACAATTGTTTAAATCATATACTTCCTGGTTTATTTAAAAATAAAGGCGAAAAATACGTTAACATAGATTAGTGCACTTTAGTGAAAAGCATCTGGGAGGTTTAAAACTAGGTGAAGTCCAAAGGAACTATGCATACTCTGTATTCATCAAAATGACTGTATAAACCGTGACCCTGAAGGTAGAAATATGATTTGAAAGTAGCTTCCAATGATCAGTTTGTTAGTCACCCGAAAGTTTCATTACCTATTAACACACCAGAATGGTTGTTTCGTGTTTTAAGAGGACGAAAATCCTGTCATTGTATATTTCTTACTTATGTGAACATTAAACGAGTCTGACTGTCTTGAACAACTGTCGTCCGTTGAGGAATTTTATAAAAATATGAGCTTGGAAATCATTGAAAATGTAGCTGTATTAATTTATCCTGTTATCCACTTGCTAAGAACAAAGCACGTTGGTACTGATTATCATATTCTTTATACCTACCTTTGTTGATTATATAAATAATGAACTTAAAGACGCCACAGATACTCACGAATTGACAACGCTTTTATCCGTGACACCTATATAGACAAACGGCCTCGGCCCAGTCAAAACATCAATCAGAAATAAAGGCGTTGACGGATGAATTTCGAAAACGCTTATATGCCCATGAGCGTTTGATCTAAACTGGATAATTGTTTTGTGATACGTAGCACGCCTATTCACTCCTGATCTCGTGAGGACGCGTGACTGAGCACCAATATGTGATGGAGAACACATTCAGACTAGAGAAAGAACAATTTATTTAATGTGAGTAAAAGATATAAGTTAACATTCAACAGGCACCACGACTGCAAGGCGGGGCCATGCCATCCGATCAACTCGATTTAATCCAATCCATTTTTCCCACCTTCCTCATCTTTGGTTTTTTTTCTCCGTTTTTGAGGATTGTGTGGTTAGGGCCCAATGCCACCACAAAACTAATGAGGTCAGCGTCACTGCAGAGCCATTTATTTTCATGATTTACTTAGCGCTACAGTCCACTCTCCAAATGTGGTAATGATTACCCTAGTATATGGCAAGCCAGGTGTTCAACCTTCATAAGTAAACACTATAATGATAGCTTGCTATGTTCAGCCGCATCCTGTTGAATTACTTTGCTATAAAGTGCCATGCAGTTTCGATTCGTCATCAGCATTTAATCCCTTCTAGTCGTCCAGGAAAAGGAAAAGATAAAAACTTGAGTGCACATAGAAAAAACCTGCACTTGCAAAAAGAAGGAAAAAAAGCAAAAACCAGGCGTATATGAGTATAAATACCATGCGACTACCAGTAAGTTGTCTCAGAAATATGATTTCAATAATGTTTTATACAAGAGCAATTATACACATGTATAAGCATATTAAGAAAACAAGTATTTTCATCTGTTTTCTATCTGATGCAATAATAAAAACAGAAAATGCAAACAAGTGGCTACAGAACGGAAAAATGAAATGAAACAAAAACTTGTAAAACCTCTTCTATGAAGTACTTATTCTAGTGTTCTGGAAACCTAATCGCATCTGGAAAGCGTTTTTTGGATAACAGCCTAAATTTGTTCTGGTTATTAATCATCGGGGATTGCATCTGTGCCTTGAGGAATGGGATATTCGATTGTTTGGTGAAAAGGTAACATAGATTGAGTTTCTGCGATAATTAGGTGTATTTGAATTATAGTTCAAACTAGGAATCCCAGAGACAACTCATTTAGATCAAGAAGTACTAGATAAGCACGAACGAATATATTGTATTCAGAATTCAAAATCAAGCATTCAACAGGTACAAAAGAATCGTTAGTTCATACAAGCACCATAGTTCCTTTCTAAGTAAGTACCCTTAAGATTGCCCATTCCGGGGTTATCATTAGCAGTTTTTTTACCGACGATATAGGACTTATGTCTGCAGTGACGGACTTCGAAGTGTCCTTCGTACGCAGTTTTCAGTAGTTGGGGTAATGAATCTCAACGTACGAGAAGGGGGGTTCGAACGAAGATAGTATTTGATTGCGGGGAACTGAAGACAAGTTTAACTTAACACTTAGCATTCAAAAGTCCATCCCTGTAGATATTTAAACCTGCGTTCGTTAAGGAAAGCGAAGGGTCCGCGAAGTCTTCTGTATGTCTAAATTTCATTACGTAGATGAGTCGCACTGCTGTATCCCAAGCGTCAGCTATCTGTGTATCATGAATACCGAGTAGTGAGATTCTGTTATGATTCGTTTGCAGATAAGAGTGAAGTTCTCAACTGTCTGTCAGATCGCAATACTAACCCATTTTCCTGTGCATGGCAGGTGGTCGTTCGGAATCCTGTGATTCCTGATAGTGTGGTAAAACAACGGAAAAATGCAGATTCGGACTGGCGTCCACGATTTGTAGTTGCAGACGAGGGGCAGTCAAATATTGCTACCTATCGTTCGACGAAGTTGCGAATCACTGTTTCAGTAATGGTGTCTTCAATGGGTGCTGCTTCTGACAACTGTGTGAAATGGTCTTCACATGTTAAGAGGTAAGACTATCTACTGGATTCTGGTTAAAGTCCTACTGAATCAAGAACAACATGGTCGAAATGAGGGTCGGCAGTCGCAAAAGATCCTAAGGAACTGATCACCTCAGATTTCTGTCAGCTTAAAGAGACGTGTGTCCACTACCGGACATCTTTATTCATATCATGCCACCAAAGGCATCCATCTATGAGCCTCATAGTCGCTCGGACACCTAGATTGGAGAATTCGTGCAATGTATTAAAGATGTTGCGTTCATGATGTTTCGGCATGACTAGATGATACCTACCTGTAGATTTCTCACGTAATACAGGTTCTCCACATGTTTTTATCTGTTGGATCTGTAGTTTCAGGGTTATTGAGGACAACTTATGTTGAAACTCGGTGTCTCCGTTTGAATTTGAGCGAGTTTAAGGAAGTCGATTCTTTGGAAACTGTTCAAGGAAATTATACGAGACAGGGACTCTGCCAATAAATTGTATACTCCAGAAATATATTGTATATCTGGAGTAAACTGCGGGATGTAGTTTAGTTGTCGTGACGCTCGTGAGGAGTATTTGTCTAAGGACGAGCTTGAAGAAAATGTGAGAGGTTTGTGGTTGTTACAAAGAGTGAATCTTTGGTGGATCTCAGCAAAATAGCTTATTCAATATATAACAATACGCATAGGTACCGATGATACAACAGTTATCACTACGAACCCAAGCGCCTGTTTATGAGTAAAGCAAAAGGTAAAAAATTACAGTTACAATATAAATCGTATACTACATAACAATATGATAACGGTTTTTATGAAATGAATGTCACTTGTAAGTTGCTCTCTGAGATGACAATTACAAACGAGTTCACTTAAATAACAAAGGTTTCTCTATATATGGTGGCACCGATGGCAGAATGAGAAAGATTAAATCCGATAGTACTATTTAATAATAATCCAGAACAAATCTTCAACATAGTGTCGGAAAGCCTAAAAGGATGCTATATTATAATCTTCAACTAGAGGTCGTGGCCAATAAAGCAGAAGGACAGACAGCGGAGATAGCGTTTATTATTCAGCAACCGCAGCAATGCGTGTACATATTTAGTGGCATTGGGCCCTAACAAGAGACATTATGGGAAATAGACATTCAACATTTAACACGGAGAAAAACCCAACTACGAAGAGGGCGGGAAGAATGAATTGGGTTAGTTCGAGTTGATCGGGTGGCATGGCTCGGTCTTGCAGGCGTGTTCCCTCTTGGATGTTATCTTGTATCTTTTATCCATATCAAATATAATGTTCTATCTGTAGCCTAAGCTTGTACTCCATCATGTATTGGTGATTGTTATGATAAGATGAGTCAGTGTAGATAATGATGTAACATCCACGTAAGATCTTATATATCAGGCGGTTACATCATGACAAATCTACCATTTAAGGATTAGGTCTATTATTAGAGCAGTACTAATATTATAGTAGACCATAATTCTACATATATACCCAAACAATTATATACTTTTCATTACTATTGATACAGAGAAACAATGGACAATGAACTTAAATGTGGTAACATGTAAAGCGTGACAAATAGGAAACTGTGTTCTTCATTTTGTCGTTACGAAAATCACTGAATATGCATGTCTCGGCTTTTCACAGTGTTGAAAATTCTGTATAACACAATACACTCCGGTAGTTCCCTAACAAAAGTGGTATATCTCGATCCAGTGTCTTGCAACCATCTCGAGAAGAACGTAAAGGTTGCCATCCGTTGATTGAAAATTATTGTAAGCTTCCTCCGATTACAGAGTTGGATGCGTCTACTGCCATACCAATATGTGCTTTGCTGTCCTGGTGTGAGAGCTTAGTTGGTTTTGTGATAAATTTCTTAAATATGGATTATGTTTTATTTGCATTGTTGTTCAAATTGATGATTTTCGCATTTCCACGAGGTTGGTCGGTTAAGAGTCCTATGGTGGACTATGATGATAAGGAGTATTTAAATTGTAGCACGAACTAAGAATCCCAGAAATAACACAGTTGGATCAAGAAGTACTAGATAAGCACAAACGAATGTACCGTATTTGGAATTCGAAATCAAGCATTCGACACGTACAAAGGAATCATCAGTTCATTCAAAAACCACGTCCGCCACAGCTTAAATTGGAGTCTAGGTGTCTGTAATCAATTGTACGTCTTCTTCTCAAGTTCATCCTGTGTCTGTCGAACAGTGTACTGGACAAGGACTCTGTATTATCTAGAATGTGCTCATTAGTATTAGAATTAACAACCGAAATTGGAACAGACACACCTGGTTCCTGGAATTGTATTTGATCAACATGTCGATTGTGTGTACTTAAGTCACTGACATAGAATTCGCACCATAGATTTCCCGAAATTCTTCAGCATAATCCCCGTGGATGGTCGAAGATCATTTCCACGATGTTATGCAACCTCTGCAGACCCCAAACATCTCATATTCGACCGAAGAATTCTTCCTTTTAATAGATTTGATGGAGTCTCTTTCGTCGCAGAATGTCTGACATTTCTATATTGCAGTAGAAAGGTATCTACCCCCTTCTCCAGCTCATTGAATAATGAGGCGATAATAAAATCAATAGCAGTTTCCAATGTCCTGACAAAGTTTTCTGCTTGATCATTAAAACAAGGATGTCTGAAAGCAGTAAACAGATGTTTG